ACTTTCTGTCGTTACGCGTCACATTGGCGACGCGTGGGTGTTGTCTATGGCGGCACTTCCAAATTTAGCGACAGTCGCGATGTAATTCTTTTTTGCGAATTGAATGCGTAACCGACCAAGCACTGGGCGAGGCTGTTAATTTAATAATACTCGATGCGTGAAAATAGGTTAATAATAAATAACCATGGTAATAATGTTTACTAGTAAAGAATGAGCTTGTAATCGCAATAGTTGCAGATTATAGATTACTTTACTGAATGATCGGATTGTAGAAAACCAAAAGATATAATTTGACTTGAAAATTGACTTGTCTACGCGGTTTTTGCAAATGTAGTTCACAAATAACCACGGGGCGCTGTACATATTCGACATATGGACATGTCATATTGAAGGCTGTGAGTTCATTGGCCGTGTTATTTCAGAATTAAGTGGGTGGTTCGAACCTTTTGTACAGGTAGGTAAAGTGGTTTGTGTCTGCGCATGCGCTACATTCACACAACAGTTAGTTAAGGTGCGTTTTGTATTTGGAATACAATAGTGTTTGTGTTCGTGTTGCTCTGTACTGTTTAGGACGGTCTCGCCTATAACTGGAATGCGTTGACGCCTGCGTTAATATTTTACTTGCTAACTTCAGTTGATAGATAATGAGAGGATCTAGGTTGGCAATGATATAGCCTCACCCCCTCCCACCTCGTGATAAAAAAGGGGAACGTGGATGTCCTGTTTCAAATTAATAACTATGATATTTTAGACGAGAGAAAATAAAACACTAATCAGGTAAAAATAATATCGCTGGAAATTGTGTGAGTTTTGTTGAATAACACAAAAATTGCTAACCACGGGACTATTTTATGCGAATAAGGTTCGTACACAAGTCTAAGTTTTTTCGGTGTTTCGGGGTCATATGACACCATATATAACATAGTAATTTAAAGTAATTTGACATTTGTCGGACAATTTTGAAATAACATTTCGTTTTACAGTTTTCATTTACAAATTATTAAATTCAAGTTTTTAAATTAATACTAGAAAATAAAAATAATGCAACAACAGCACCGACAAATACACAGAAGATGTTTAGAAAAGTACTTTGGCATGTAAAATAACATTGTTGAAAGCAACTGTAGTAAATGTAATGACGTTGGTTTATACTGTTCTGTCGCTATAGTAGTTGTTTGTTCAAGAGAAACTTGGCTCAAAGAAGCGATTTTTGTGGTGACGACGAAGACGTAGTAACCTGGTCACAAACCACGCCTTCAAATATATTCACATGAGTAAACTGACATTACTTCAATATGGCGTCGAAGAAATCGTATATCAAGTGTGCATTGCCTCTAACAACTTTGGTGGTTTTCGTGATCTTTGCCATGCGTACAGCCATCGTTAGGATTGAAAATCACGTTCTGATCGAAGCGGATAGTCTTGAAGTATGCAAAATGTTTTCAAACCCAACGATGTTTTATCATAAAGGAGGTGGCAGGTAGGTCAATATTAGTGTAAACATGCAGACTGTGTTAATATCCAGACAACTATTATGTTTTATAAACATGATCAGAGGGATATGAATTTAAAATGGAGCTACTATTTGCTGAAATTAAATTAAAACAGTGACAGTTTTCTGTTCTTCAATGGCGAACCACCTTTCATATTTAGTTGACATGTAATGTGTTACATTCACGATCAATACAGGAAAAAATATGTTTTATCATAAAATACCAAAGAATGTATATGAACGCATGAATCAGAACAGAAAATGTATTGGAGTCAATCACTATACCCATCTAGTATCCCTATGCTTCATCGAAAAATATTTACAAATATGTGGAAACATCCCTTGTGGTGCAAGGGTGGAGACGATATTAAAGTATTGTCTCTATACAATGGAGTGTTTGTCAATGCGACAAAGAAGTCACTTTGATAAGCGTCCAAACCTGTTCCTATCTGTTGATGAGCACGGGGTTGAACTAAAGACCGTGTTTAACAATATAATTGTGCTGGAAAGTGCAGCCGCCATAGACCATAAAGTTCATTGTCGACCGTTCATGGCATATAACGCATTTATACACTCTCGATATGCAGCCGCCATGTCACTTCAAGTGATTAGACACTCTCCATATGCGGCCGTCACATCACATCAAGTGATTAGATACTCTCCGTATACGGCCGTCACATCACATCAAGTGATTGTACACTCTCCATATACTGCCGTCATATCACATCAAGTGATTAGACACTCTCCATATGCGGCCGTCACATCACATCAAGTGATTAGACACTCTCCATATACTGCCGTCACATCACATCAAGTGATTAGACACTCTCCATATACTGCCGTCATATCACATCAAGTGATTAGACACTCTCCATATGCGGCCGTCACATCACATCAAGTGATTAGACACTCTCCATATACTGCCGTCACATCACATCCAGTGATTAGACACTCTCCATATACTGCCGTCACATCACATCCAGTGATTA